TGTTTCCAAATTATAATCAAATATTAAAACAAAAGTAGCAATTATAGTTTAATGCCTTCAAGACTGTTTTAGACAATGTAATAGAAGGAAGTTTATCGTAGCATTCCTACAAGTAAGGGCAACTAATTATTTTTCATGTTGATTGGCTTGAATCTCATCATTCCCGCCTATCAACTCTATGGAAGTGTTACTAGAATATTTATGATAGCTACTAACATGATTTACTGGGGGACATCTACAATTATATTGTTTACATTTAAGATTGTCACTTTTAGAAAGTTAAAATTAAAATGTCTGAGATTAATTAGCAGAACTATGGCAAGAGCATCATTAAAAGGTTCATCTTCATATGTAAGAACTAAAAAATGTACTACTTCACACTCATTAGATGGGTAAACCTAAATTTTTACTGTAAGTACTAACAAGGAAGTAGTCAAATGGAAACTCACAAGCCACAGTTTATGGAAGCCAACAATTTCAATCACTGGGATAGTAGCCTGGAAATGCTAGGTAAAGAGGAAAGTACACATACCCTACAACTCAGCAATACCACTCCTAGACTCTTTGTATAAGGAACCGTGTATAAAGATGAATTAGTGAAAGATTAGACTCACCTACATATCTATCGACAGAAAATGATTTAAAAATAATGGTACATTCATATTTTGGATACTACGTAGAAGTTAAAGAAAACAGGGCCACATGTATCAACTAGAATAAATCTCAGAAGCGTATTAATCATAATAAATTCATATTTTGGATACTATATACAAGTTAAAGAAACCAGGGCCACATGTATCAAGTTGAATAAATCTCAGAAGCATATTACTCAGCAAAGACAAGTTGCAGAGGACACATGCAATATGATACCCTTTATGTAATGTTGGGAAATCTGGAAAATAATGCATTTTTTTAAGATAGAAAGATAAGTAATAAAATTGTAAAAACATGCATGAAAATGATAAACTCCAGATACAGGAAAATGGTAATCTCTGAGAAGGGGAGAAAGGGGAAACAGACCTCAGAGGAATGTATTAGAAGCTTTAACTGCCTCTGTACATTTTTGCTTAAAAAGAAAACAAAGCAAGAGATAATTTGAGGCAAATAGAGAAAAATGTTATGATATGACTAAACTGGGTGGCACGAATATGGGCACTTATTATGTTATTCTCTATATCCTCTCTGTACATTTCAAATATTTCATGAGTTAAAAAATTAATTCACTTCAAATGTAAACTTAAAAATAGACATTATTTCACGAAACAAAGGCTTTTCGTGTTTTTGTTTACCTTGTCAACATGTAAAGGTAATAAACATCCATAGATATTTACATGAAAAAAGGCACCCTCACGGGGGTGGGGGCACGAAAAATCGCCACAAACTGAGTAAATACAGTTGAGTTTTAATGGTTTCCACAGTGAGGACTACCTTACACCCGACCCCCACACCGCCCTCCTGTCCCCCCGCCATCATGTACCAGATTAAATTTTAATAGTTATAATTTGATCTAGACAGTCTATCATCCCCTAACTTTATAAAGCTCTAGGAATGCTTATAGAAAACTTACTCCTCCTGGAGCTCTACGGGTTTGAGTTGAGGCCTGAAAAACCTTTGGTGGTTCATCTCCTATTTTGGAATAAGTCATAACTGAGGAAGAACAAAATGAATGTCCATTTGGATCCAGTGAAAGTTGACCCTAAAGGTAAACAAATTGTAAATTCGGTCGAGTCAAATATAAATAATTATTGCCAGAGAGTTCAAATAAGTAACACTAGCTATAAGTTCTACCAAGGATACTAAACTACCAATATGGTATAGTCAAAGGGCACACCCAGGTTCTCAAGTGAGAAGTGACTTGAAAAATTACCTCCACCCAAAAAAAAGGCACCCCTAGAGGGTCCTGATGGTCGTCCATTTTAGGTACCATCATCCCACTCTCATTACAAAGACTAGTAAGTGACTAATTCAGAGATCCTTAAGTCTTTGGGTGCTTGTGGCTTAGATTTCAATGAAGATGCTATGCCCCCAAACCTGTGATACTTCTACAGTCAGTGGTTGACCCTTGTGCGTAATCTTGCCAACATCAAGCCAATCAGTTAGTTATATATCAAGTTTCATACCTCCTCCTGTAGGTACCAGATTGCTACATTACTAAAACCAATAATGCCCTAGATTATTTGGATGATCCATAGAATTCAAACTGGATGACTAGAATGATATGGGTCTTCTTCAGATCAAATCAAGTGACTGGTTTTGATGTTAATATAGAGAGTACTGTTATAGTACTAGTTTATAAGTATTTGGACTATTAGGGATCTATACCTAAACATCATTCCTAAAATTTCTGTTTTCAGAGTTGTTTATAAAACCCTAAAACTCTTTAGATGTTACAAATCTTTTTAAGTAGACAGGTTATTAATAAAATTATGCAAATTCAAATAAAATGTTCATTTACAATAGTGACTTTCAATAGAATCAATGTTTTTGAGGTCAATTTTTTTCCAATTTTTAAAAAAATTTTGAAAGTTAACATTATTTTTCAAACTTGGAGGTTATGAACTCAATTTATTATTTTTCAAACTTGGAGGTTATGAACTCAATTTAGTGTGTTGTAACCAGGATTTTTAAAACATGAAATAGACTAGAAAATAACTGTATATACTGTAAATAGTATAGTCATTTTTTCATGAAACTTGTGCTTCAAATATATTTATAAAGTATACAAATATTGCTTACTGGGTTAATCATGTAAGATATCTTTTTTAACCACTATGGTTAAAAAAGTGTTTGAAAGCCACTATGAAATAGAATATACCAAAGTATACACAATGTTCTCAATGCTTTGTTTTCAGTACTTACAAAGTTTCTTTCTAATTTCTGCATATAGTTTCTCATATTTGACACCATTTGGTCCACTGTCTGAAAAGGGCTGACATCTGTATGCTACAGAATATCAGAAAGTATGTTATTAACTATAAGTAACAACACAAAAGATGCAAATACATCTTCCAAAATAGCTAAAACATTTTTTTCCAATTCATTTAGTGAAATCTCATGCAGTAATCAACCAGACAAAGATAACTTAAAGAGGATATAATAACAGTGATTAGTTAAGGAGAAAATTGAAGCATACACAAAATCCCAAAAAGAGAGCATACAAATAATTAGGGAATTGTAACATTATAAACATATACACACGTGTATATATACACATATATGTGCATGCATAAATACACATACACATACACATCTAATCACTCATTACTCACTTTTTCAAAACACAATTTGGTGTATGTTAAATACTAAGTGATATATTCTTTAGCATATGATCGTTTTCATAATTCTCCTTTTTATCTCTCAATACTCCACCATACAAATAAATAAAACTTGGGTATAAGATGCCAGTGTCACCTCCAGCAGTACCACATGGCTGATAGAAGTTGCCCCTCAAGTAAGTAGCCAGCCTTCCTCTCATCATAGTAGGATCCAGGTGACAGAAGTCAATTCACTTTACTAATAGGCCTTCAATTTGCTGCCTACTGAAGGGTCAGTAGGCTATACCCTTGAAGCACGAGGTATGTGTCTTCAGAAAAACAGTTAAGAATTCCTTAGTTTCTCAACCAAGATTGATTTTGATTCTCAGGGGACATTTGGCAATAACTGTACTCATTTTTGGCTGTCACAGATGAGGAGAGCCTATAACTAGCATCTAGTGGGTGGAGGTCAGGGATGCTGCTTAACAATCTACAACGGATAGGACAGTCTCCCAGAACAAAGAATTACCCAGCCCAAAATGACAATAGTGCTGAGGTTGAGAAACTTTGCTCTAGGAAAATCTACCACTGATTTTAGGTCTTAAAATCTACCATTGATTTTAGGTTTTATCACTGGAAGACTCACCAGAAAATAAAAGTCAAGCACACATTCCAATGTATTACCCAGTAAATCACCTGTTATAAAACAGAATGAGTTGCTTGGTTTAATGAACTTCTCTGTTCAAGCAAGCGGAGCTCTGAATCCTCTAAGTTCTGTTTGTGTCTCTGCCTTTTATTGCTATTGGATTTTTACAGATATTAATAATGTAAAATAGGTGGGAAAACCAAATTCCTCCTTAGAACCTGCACTTAATATAGTAGGGAACAACAAAGGCACATTTAGGAAACACTAATATATATTTGGGTACAAAAAGGACCGAAGTAGAATTAATTCTGCATTTCAGAGAGGCAAACGCAATCCAGGAAATATTCTGAATATTTGCTTTAACACTAGATTGAGAATCCATTCTTATTATCATGAGATATGGAAGGGTTAACCCAAAGAAGGAAAAAAAGAGAGAGAGGAAAAGATTAGGCATTTGGGTATTTCTGTCCTCTTCTCAATTCACGTTCAAATCAACCATCAAAAGATGTATCAGCACTTGCTCTGGGGTGACCCAACACACTGGAGTGACAAAAAGTTGGGGTACAAAATGGAGTTGAGACTTCAGTGGGCCCTTAAGGCCTTCAAAAATTTTGTACACGTTCTCCTCTTTCTGCCTTAAATGTTTCTTTCTGACTTTTAGCCTAGTTAGTTCCTTCTCATGATTCAAGTATCACCACCTGAGAAAGGCCACTGCTGGTCACCTGTCTAATCCCTCCTTCACTTTCCCCCATCTCTATATCATTACCCTGTTTCATCTCCTTCAGGGTACTGTGACTATCTGAAATTATTTTGTTGTTTACTAATGTCTGTCTTCCCACTTTATATAAGTAATCTCTCTGAGGGCAGGGCAATTTTGTCTATTTTATTCACTACAATATCCCCAATACATATATAATAATTCCTGGCACTTAAGAGGGTTTAATAAATATTTGTGGAATGAATGAATGAACAAATTATCTCTAGCTCAGCTCAAATCCATATATCCAACAGTTTACCAGATAAATCTACCTGGAAAACCCACAGATGGCTCAAATGCCAAACACCCAAAACTAAAATGATCGTTTTGACCACCCCACTCCTATATCTGTACTGAGTCAATGCCTTATCTCAGTGGCATTCCCATCTACCTTATTCTTCATGCCAGAAAAATGGGTGTGATACTCCCCTTCTCCCTCTCTACTGCTTCTTCAACCCTATCAATCACCAAATTCTATCAATTTACCCTTTTAACTGTCTCAAATGAAGTAATTCATTTTTATCACCACAGACATTACCTAGTAGAAGTAAGCCATCACTAATACTTTACCAAGAATGCTTCAACAGCCTTCTGGCTTCCCTGCCTCCACTACGGTCTCTTCTAATCTTCCAAGAATCTGAACTCTATTACCCCTTTGACATAAGTCATCACTGCTTCCTCTGCTCTTAAGATACTGTTTACTCTACTTACTATGGCCCAAAGAAGTCTCTGGATACCTCTTCTTCCTCATCAATATCTACTGTTCAACTCATACTCTAGGGTTAAGTGACACTAAACATGTTTTAGCTCCCTAGCCTCCAGGTCTTTGCAAATGCTGTTTCCTCTCTGTTGAACAGTATTCCTTTCCCCTCCCTCCTTTTCAGGCTAACTTTTACTAATCCTTAAAGTTCAGGAAGTCTGCTTGGACTGACCCACCCTACCTCAAAAGGTGCTTTTTTCCATCTGTGCTCCCATAGCATGCTGAACTTCCTGATCATTTTATTCATAACTCTGTGTTATAACTGCTTTTTTTGTCATTTGTCTTACTAAGTACACTGGTCAGGAGGGACGAATGTTATACCTTTATGTCAAACTTCAAGGAAACAAATGATTCAATTGTAGCACAAAATAATAATTAAAAAAAAAAAACTCGTTTCATGAGACTGTAGATACAAATGTTCCAAATTCATGTTATTTTCTGCTACTCCCCAGAATGCTTTTAGTGTGTTGGAAGCTAGCATCACAGACACAGCACAAAAACCCTAAGAAACAGGTGATAGAAATGCTGGTTGCACAGCAGCCATTCTTAAGTACAGACAAGAAAAAGCTGCACGGGCAAGGTGGCAACAAAATCCTAGAGAAAGCAGTCAATCTGTGTTTTTCCAAATGTTGTGCTTATCTATCTACAGTTTAGTACTTTTTTTAAAACCTTTTGGAAAGTAATCATAAGCATGTGGAAGTCCTCAACTTTCAAACACAACTATGAGGATCCCTTTTGTAAATCAAGCAACTATTCATCCAATAAAATCTACTCCTTATTTTTGAAGATGAATTTTATATATGTTGAAATGACTTACTTCAGGAAACATGTGCTTAAACTTTTTAAGGTAAGTTTGATACTTGAAACAGAGGTTTTCAGTACAAATATTAAAAAGCCATTATGAAAGTGAGACTGCAGGCCAATTTAGTCCGCTTGAGTTAATGAAAAATAAATATTTGTCAGAAAATATTGCTAAAATGATTTGTGTCTTAGGATACGAACCATACCACCAAAACTGCCAAAAGATACAAGAGAACAACTCATTGCCTGGAAAAATAATATCCAATTCATTTTGATTATGACATTTACTATACAGAAGTTTCTCAATTTACCAATTAAATGTTTACTGAGTTTCAAATATCTAGATTTCAATTGCTGAGATTCATCTTTATAGAAACCCCTGAAGGCTTGTTATCTTAGAACTATTATTCCTGAGGCTGAAAAAGCAACAGAAAAAAAAAGGGAAAAAAGAATATGGTTATGATATATAAATATCCTGTTTTTAAAAAAATTTTAGTTGAGTATGTTTGTAACCTCTAGCTTTGCTCTAAGGCAAGACATATGAAAATATATTTCAGTTGTAAGGCTTTCGAGAAACAATTAAAGGTTAATCTAAGCTTTGAAGGTCCAGAGGTAAGATTATAGAAGATTAGTGTTTCCTGGTCCAATAAAGACAATCCTTTGTAGCTTTTGATACGATTTTCAAGTATTAAAACAATGAGTATGGGAGAGAAAGGATATTTCCTTGCCTGTTCTCATTTCAGATATTGGAGGAAATTATAAGGTGAGAAACATATACATAAATATAAAAAATAATGGTTTAAGTTTTGCTTCTAAATATATAACCCTATGGACCTAAAAGTTTTGGTTAGCATGGTGGAATTCTATATAGCTGACAAGTCACTGTTCAAGAATTCACCTTTCCAAAGTTCCCCCCTTTAATATAATAGTGATTTCTACAACAAGAATATTAGTCATATCCTATCATTATACATATATACTTCTGTAATAATTTTCTTCAAATTCCTACAGGGTCTTCTCACTAACTGTCTTAAAAAAAAGAACTTACAGTCAAAGAATCTTCATCATTATGTCCTCTATGATTACGAGCTCTCCCTCTACCATCAGGGATACTGAGCAAGTCTCTTCCAAAGGATTCAGATAAACTTCTCATCATCTGTGGCATATTTTCTCGGTGTGCAAGAATGGACTCACTGTTGAAAATATACATAATCATGAAAGATTCAGTGTTGGAATTTAAATAGTAAGTAGGCAGTTAAATACTACAAAGAATTATTTTGGGCTAACATGTTTGTTAGATACAAGAAGAGTAGAAGAGAATTCTATTTTATACAAAAATAGAATTATCTCATAAAGATCCACTATTAGATGGTTCCCTACTTACAATGGTTCAAGTTAAGGTTTTTTGACTTTACTGTGGTATGAAAGCACTACACATTCAGTAGAAACAGTACTTCAAGGATCCATACAACCATGCTGGTTTTCACTTTCAGTATAGTACTCAATAAATTACATGAGATATTCAACACTTTATAATAAAGTAGGCTTTATGTTAGATGATGTTGCCCAACTGTAAACTAATGTATATGTTCTGATGATACTCGGTAGGTTAAGTGTATTAAATGCATTTTGATGTATAATATTTTCAATTTGCGATGGGTTCATTGGAATGTAATCTTCTCATAAGTTAAGAAACATCTGTAGTTATAAATAAAATTAATGAAAACCTGTTTTTATCCAATATAATTCATTTAAAGCATAATAAAAACTACACCTTTATCCCATACTGCATAAAAATAAATATCAACACTCTATAATCTGATGTTTACCCTTTTGTCACAAGTCTCATTCAAGAACCTATTTTTTTTTTTTTTTTTACTTTATCACAATGGTTTTCCAACTTTGTTCCAGTTGGACAGTTACTGACCCACTCATCAATTCCTTATTCCTTATTCTAGAACTTAAGGTACACCATGATTGAAGCTCACTTTACCAAGGCAATCTTATGCTTTCCTGCAGTCCAATGGAATCCCCTCTCCAATAGTCTGGCCTCCTTTTAGATTCTCCACTTCAGTTACATTCTTCTTAGGTCACCCTTCCCCCTTCTAATTTCAATCCTCTGATGTCATCATAAAGCAGCTAGAAAGTTTTTTAAAAAATCTTCTTGGCCAGGGATGGTGCCTCATGCTTGTAATCTCAGCACTTTGGGAGGCTGAGGCAAGTGGACTGCTTGAGGTCAGGAGTTCAAGACCAGCCTGGCCAACATGGTAAAACCCCGTCTCTACTAAAAACACAAAAATTAGCTGGGCGTGGTAGCATACACCCATAATCCCAGCTACTCGGGAGGCTGAGGCAGGAGAATCGCTCGAACCTGGGAGGCAAAAGTTGCAGTGAGCCAAGATCACATCACTGCACTCCAGCCTGGGTGACAGAGCCAGACTCTGTCTCAAAAAAAAAAAAAAAAAGGAATTTTCCTTGTAGCTCCAGCTCAGAAGAAGCTTAAAAATTCTGTCTTCTGCTCGTAAGTCCAAGTAGAAAGAGCTTTTCCTCTGAATTTCATAGCATTTATATACATAAACCTATTCCAAAAGACCTCAGATTTACTCATACATTACCTTGGAGGTTAAAAAAAGTATAATTGTTCCAAGTGTGAGTTTAAGATTAGCAAACTGCTTAACTGGATTTGTGCTTGTGTGTATAGACAGATGTTTTCATTCGGCCTTGTTTCATTACATTCAATGAAATTTACCAATTTTAGTTGTACAGTTTGACGAATTTTAAAAAGTACAGTCATAACCTCCACCATAATTAAGATGTAGAACATTTCCATCATTCCAAAAAGTTCCCTCGTCTCTTTGCAGATAATTACCTGCTCCGAGCCCCAGTTACCACGAATAGGCTTTCTGTCATTATAGTTTGGTCTTTTCCAGAATTCATAAAATGGAATCACATAGTATGTCATCTTTTGTGTCTAGCTTCTTTCCCTTAGCATAATGCTTCTGTAATTCATCCATGTTGTTCCCCATTTCAGTTCATTCAGTTTTATTGCTAAGTTCATACATATATCAATATCATAATCACAAAACTGTCTTTAGTTTTTGGCTACTATGAATAAAGCTACTATGAATATTTATGTACTAGTCTTTGTGTATATTTAATTTGTCTTAAGTAAACACCTAAGAGCAAGGACTGCTGGCCTGTATTAGAAGAGTATGTAAATTTTATAAAAACTGTGAACTGAGAGTTACAGTTACACTGCATTCTTGCTGAAATGTGGGATAGTCAGATGTTTAACTGTAGCCATTTGAGTCGTAGTGTCATAACATCTCATTGTGGTTTTATTTTGTATTATTTGTCATTCATACATGTTCTTTGATAGAACTGTCTTTTCAAATACTTTCCCCATTTTTAAAAATCAGGTTATAAGACTTCTTTATATATTCTGGACACAGACTTTTATCAGATACAGGTTTTAAATTTTTCCCAGTCTTGGACTTGCCTTTTTCATTCTCTTAACATGAATGTATTCAGCCAAACAACCATGAATCTTTGTTAGGCCTTCAGTTTTTACCACATTTTGCTAATGTGATTAAGGATTTTGAGATGGGAAGATTATCCTGGATTATCCCAATGGACCCAAAGTAATCACAAGGATCCTTATGAGAAGGAGATAGTAGTGTCACAATCAGAAGATGTTACACTGCTGGCTTTTAAAATGGAGGAAGAGGCCAAAAGCCAAGGAACACAGCAGTCTCTAGATGCTAGAAAAGACAAGGAAACAGATTCACCCCTAGAAACTCCAGAAGGAATGTAGCCCTGCCAACACCTTGATTTTAGCCCAGGGAAACCCATTTTGGACTTCTGATCTTCACCATAAGACAATTTGTTGTTTTAAGTCTCTAAAGATGTGGTAATTTGTTATAGCAGCAATAGGAAACTAATGCAAGTTCTTAAATTTTAATTTTAAAATATACAAAAGTCTCACTCCTCTTTTAGAGTATAAGTTCTTCTAGACTAGGAACTGTATCTTCATTCATATTACCAACCTCTGTGCTTGACACACAGTATACATTATAAATGTTTATGGAGGGCTGGGTGCGGTGACTCACGCCTATAATCTCAGCACTTT